TTCCAAGCACCCAGGGGTGTCCCATACTGTTTTGCTGCCTGACGCCCCCATGGGGTTTCGCTACCCAAGGCAGTTGCTTCAGATCCGCCCTGCAAGCATCCTTAGCAAACCACAGTTCCCAGAATTATTTGGGGAGAAGCTACATGCTTTGTATCTGGGTACAGTGTGGGTGAAATGAAATTAGGCACATTCGGCGTACATGTCTTCCACCCCCCCAAAAAAATTCTGGGAACTGTAGTTTGCTAAGGGGCCTGGCTGATGTTCATTGTGAGCGCAGATCCTGCTGTCGTTTTATGGATAATTTGTTCATTGTGTTATACAATTTATGCTGTTATTGTGATGTTCTATGATGTTATAGACAGCATCTTAAAAGCAGAGACATCACCTTGCCGACAAAGGTCCGTATAGTTAAAGCTCTGGTTTTCCCAGTAGTGATGTATGGAAGTGATATAAAGAAGGCTGATCAAGAATGGATGCTTTTGAATTCTGGTGCTGGAGGAGACTCTGATATCCCATGGACTGCAAGAAGATCAAACCTTCATCTGAAGGAAATCAGCCCTGAGTGCTCACTGACAGATCCTAGTTTCAGGCTCCAAGACTTTGGCCACCTCATGGAGGAAGAGAAGACTCCTGGGAAAGACCCTGATGCTGGGAAAGATGGAGGGCACAAGAGAAGGGGACGATAGAGGACGAGATGGTGGGACAGTGTTCTCGAAGATACCAGCATGAGTTTGACCAAACTGCGGGAGGCAGTGGAAGACAGGAGTGCCTGGCATTCTCTGGTCCATGGGGTCACAAAGAGTCGGACACGACTAAACAACTCAACAACAACAACAAATGACGTTATTGGCATTTGTTGTATGTGAGCTGCTCTGCGACTCACGCAAGTGAAAAGCGGCCTAGAAACATAAGAAATAACATTAAAACTGACATTAAACTGTCAGAAATCCAGAATCCAACTGCATGCTGTCCAGAGCATCATATGTCCCCAGAAAACAATGAGGGTTAGAAGTTTTCATTCATTTCTATTGCCAGCGGTGCAGCAATAAAACTGCTAGCACATTTGCAAAAGCTTCAACAGAGTCCAGTACGGTTTCAAACTGAAACATTTCGAATGTCCTTTTCCCTACTTCTAACAATTGCTCATTCAAAGTTCTAGCATAACAGAAATGTAGAGTTGGAAGGGACCCCACAATTTCCCCACGTCTGATGCATCCCCCATTGCACTCCTCTAGGGCAGGCACAGGGAATAAGAGCCTTAATCAGGGATAGTGAGAGTCAGAGCCCAGCATGTCCACAGAAAAGGGTCTTCACATCTCCTGACAATGGTGTTTAGAATTCTTATAATATATAAATTGTTGTTGTTTAGTCATGTCCGACTCTTCGTGGACCCTGACCAGAGCACCAGGCACTGTCTACTGCCTCCCGCAGTTTGGTCAAACTCATGCTGGTAGCTTCGAGAACACTGTCCCACCATCTCGTCCTCCGTCGGTCCCTTCTCCTTGTGCCCTCCATCTTTCCCAACATCAGGTTCTTGCAGGGTTTCTCTCATGAGGTGGCCAAAGTATTGGAGCCTCAGCTTCAGGATCTGTCCTTCCAGTGAGCACTCAGGGCTGATTTCCTTCAGAATGGAGAGGTTTGATCTTCTTGCAGTCCATGGGACTCTCAAGTGTCTCCTCCAGCACCAGAATTCAAGAGCATCAATTCTTTGGCGATCAGCCTTCTCTATGGTCCAGCTCTATAAATTAAATGTTCATAAATGTACAAAGCAAACACATACATAAGTATACAGTCATACCTCGGGTTACAGCCGCTTCAGGTTGGGTTTTTTTTGGGTTATGGGCCACCGAAACCCGGAAGTACTGGAACGGGTTACTTCTGGGTTTCAGCGGTTGCGCATGCGCAGAAGTGCTAAATCACGCTTTGCGCATGCTCAGAAGTGCCGAATCGCAACCCGTGCGTTGCGAACCCTGTGGGTTGCGAACGTGCATCCCTCATGGATCACGTTCGCAACCCAAGCGTCCACTGTATAAACCATGTGTCTGAAATAGTACAGGAGAGCAATCCCGAAGCCATTTTGACTCTCCCAATGACCTCAAATACTCCTCTGCAGTAAGGGGGGCAAGTGCGGAAAGCCTTCCCATTGTCTTTTTGCTTTTGCAAATCTTAAGGGCGTATTTGTGTATGGATAGGGTGAGCCTGTGACCTGGACTCAGAAACTGAAGTATTAACCATCACAAAAGAATGGCCAGGCTGCCCAGCTAAAGCAATCAGCGACCATTAACAGGTATCCTGGCAGGCAGCTATTTCTGCCGGAGACCTCCTCCTTCTGTGATGTATGTATGATGTTTTAGGGGGGTGGCCTTGGGATACAGGATGGGCAATTTCAAAAATCTATATAAGGGCTTGCGCACCATTGTTTGGGGTTCTCCTCCCGCCTGCATGGGGAGATTGGGGAATCTGTTGCAACAGTAAATAAAGATCAGGCTTACTAGCCGCT